CTGCCCCCGTCCCTCCACGATTTTGCCGAGCTTGCCTCCGCCATTCCGCAGGAGCATCCTTGCCCCCAGATCAGCGCCCCCAGCCTGTGCTGCGTGGGTGCATTTTCTCCAGCAGGCATGCTCTGCTGCAGCAGGGCCAGGCCGTGTCCGAAAGCCCCCTCAGCTAGCAGATCCCACATGCAAGACTGTGTTCTCATCACTGGCATTCAGGCCTGGAGAACATTCCGCTGCTGGTTTGCTCTTCCAGGAACGAGAGTGTGCTCTCCGACTTAAGATAAACGCTGGTTGGCTGTCAGAAATCTCTGTTCAGCACTTACACGCATTTATCTCGCACTGTGACAGGCTGCTGACACAGCAATTTCCATGCCTCGTGCTGCATGGGTGAGTTTGCAAGGGCAGTCAACTCTTGCGCAGGAAGGGTTTCTGATCCTGGAAGATTCTCGTTAATTGACAAATCCAGCAAATTATGTGAGCCGTTAGGGTAGATCATTTAACCTCGCCAGAGTTCCATTAATGAATAGCATTTACACTGCCCTTTAAAGTGGGAGTGTGCCTTGGTCACAAGTTTCAGCTTGGCCACAATTCAGAGGTCCGGAAAGCAGCTTGGTTTGCTTGGGACCAGTTTAAAGCCCACCTGATTTGACTAAAGGGTCAAATGCAGATCTCAGTTTGGAAGGTTCACTTCCCCCTTTCAGTATAACTGCAAATCAACAAATGGTATTTCCTTTTTCCTGTTTGACAGAACTGGATAAAATCTGTAGGAGCAGGTGGGTGAACAGGGAACTTCTGAGGCAAATAGGTGCAGGGGCAGGCAGAGAGGCAGCAGCACTTTCCAGGTGAGCACCTATTGCTGCTCTAGCCTCCCAGCTCCCCTTCCGCTCAGCCCACAATGCACGGGGGCACATACTGAGCACCGTTTTGGGCACGCAGCCCTCAATGGGGCTGTGCTGCATTGTGTGAACTCACTTGTGGGGGGGGGCAGGTAAACGCTAGGTTTATTGTTGGAGTATGTGACTAACCCCGCAGTGATGCCTCATTAGCTCTGCAACATTTAGATTAACTCTGTGAAGTGGGCAGTTCTACGGCCCCCATATTATCCTCGGCATCTGCAGCCTTGCCTAAGGATGAGGCTCCAAATGAGCCGAAGCCCATCAAAGCGAATCCTGAGCAGGCTGCCGAAGGAACGGGGGAAGCGTGCAAGCGGCCACCCCCACACAGGTCAAGTCCAGTCCGAAGCCGCTTTTGCTCACCTAGGACCTGAGACACGTGCGCAGCTCCGAAACAGAAGGCGCGCAAGAGCGGTGCGATCTGAACGCCACTGGCGACTCTGCCTCAAGTGAGCGGCCGCACTCTTCTGGAAATGCACCCCCGACTACAGATGCCCACTTCCCCGCCTCCGCCAAAGGAGCTCCCATCGGCTCTGCAGCACGGGGCAAGGCTCCCCAGGGTGCAGAGAACTGTTTCAGAAGTCCGCGACCCTTTTCCAGTAAGTCGTGTGAATACTGAAGTGTGGGCGGGGATGCCAGAAGCTGTCCAAGAGGGCCTGGCCTGAAGAATCCTTCCTAAGAGAAAGACCGACTGTGGCAACAGTCCGTGAAGCAGAGATGTTGGATCCCCAGCACAAAAAAGCCCCTGAAGCTATTGAACATTCATCTGAATTAAAAGAGGACCATGTTCGGGGACAAAATTACTGAGCTGGGGAGCCTCCTGGCCAGACCGAGCATTGTCATGAAGTGCCGGTCGCACGGTGACCACAAAGAGGAATTTGTGAACGCAGCGATCATTAATTCCACCCTGTGACACCCAAGACTGAAGCTTATGGGCAGGCTCTCCAAAGTTCACAATTCTCCCAAGATGCCTCTTCACACTAGAGGGACATGTGCTGCCTGCCCTTCTACACACAAGCCTCTCTTTTCCCACCAGTCCACTCAACAACTTTCTCAACGATCTTAGTGGACACACCAAAAGGTCCCACCAGAGAAGGGCAAAACAGGAGAAGGCCTCCCCAAATGCAGAAAGACAGCAAGCGCCCTCTTCCAACTGACTGATCTGGCCAGTCCAGTCTGCCAGAAGCACGAAGAAATCCGTGAAATCAGCAAGAAGCAATATTTGCCACATTCTTAAAATCCGACTGTATTTTCTTCCCTTTGCATGGAAGATCCCCTGGAAGGGCTGATGCTTCTGAAGAGGTTGCTGCTTGTGCTAAGACCTGCCACAGCTGGGCTGCTGTGCTGCAGATGTGCATCTTGTTCCTTGGAATGCAAACTCCCTCTCTCCAAACAAGGTTTTGTTGGTGTGAAGCTTGGACGTATCATTCCTCTGCCTCTGTGGTGCTAGAGTCTGCCTCTGCCTCTGGGCGCTTTCTCCCACTCAAGGTAGGCTTCTGGGATGGGACTCCAAACCAAAAGGCTTGTGTGTGTGCGCACACACACATGCACACACACGACACATGGTTGTGGACACACGCCAGCACACGCCCCCATACAGTTCCAAAGTTTCCTTAAAGTTTCCTAACCCCGACCCCGACCATGCCGTGGTCTATGATTAGGCTGATTAATCTACCTGCTCCGGTGACATTGCCGTAACAACACCACAGGGAGACAAAGACACAAAACTTGGCTGACGTGGCCAGCTTGGTAAAATTTGTGCAAGAGAAGACCTTCTGGTTGAGCCACGAAGAAAAAGGGAGGATGCTACCAAGTCGTTAGAGGAAATTTTGGCCGTGGTTCTCTGGGGCGGATACCCCAGTTACGTAATGTCTGTGTAACACTCTTGCACAGAAAATTTCAGTAAGACGCATGGCATGAACTTAGCAAGGAGAACTCTGTAAAAGTTCTTTCTGTAAATTTGATTTGTACATTTTGGAAATCCTGTAAGTTTGTACATTTGTACTTTACAAAATTTTGAATTTTCTAATTTTTCTAATTTTGTAATGTGGCAAGTGTTGTAACTCTTGTAGTATGTTTTTATTTCAATAAAATCGTTACAGATGTCCAAAACCTCTATGCGTTTATAGGCCTGGAGGCGGGACGGCTAACGATGGGTTCAATTTTCCCATTGACTGCACCCACATCCTCCCTCCCCCTCCCCCCCCCTCCGCTGCCCATCCTTGCTGCCTTCTGGCTCCCATTGCTGTGTCCCTGCTTATGCTGCAGCGGCCACTTTTCCCGCAGGAAGCGGGTCTGCCGGAGACGCGTCTGCCCGCCAAGCAGGCGCCCTCGCACGCCCCGTCCCTAACGGTTCAGGGCAGCATCGCTCCGGCTTAGCAACCTGAGGAGATGTGCACCAAAGCAGAGAAAGGGAAAGTCCTGCCATGTCCCTGCACGGCTGGCATGACCTGCATCGGGTGACAAGCCTCATCCAGGCAGAGGGCCAAATGCGGTTTTGCGGGGGCTGCCCAGGAGGTGCCTCTGGGGGTGGGCACAGCCAAAGGCGAAGGGGCAGGCACTGCCGGCGGACTCCAGTTCCTGCTCCTAATGCCTGCGCATCTGGGAAGGCATTCCAGCCTTTGCAAATGGGCCGGGGGAGGGGGCGGACCCGAAGCCACCCACCGATGGGTCACCTGGGCACAGGGGCCGGGCACAGCCATATGGAGGATCCCAAGCGCCAGGCCAGGCTTTCCAGCGTGTGATATGCCTGGAGGTCTTAGGAAAAAGCTGCTCCGAGGCGTTTGCTGCCCACGGTGCTCCGGACCGGCGCATGCATCGGGCCTCATCGCTGGGAGCCCTGGGGCCGCGAGGGGCATGCCGCCTCCTCCAGCGCTGTCCTCCACGCCGCCCACGCAGAGCCGTGGTCGGCCGAGGCAGCCGTTGCGTCACCTCGCGGTGGAGGTGGCCCGCTCCTCCAGCAGGTCCTGAGCGTAGCCCGGTGACACCCCCGCGGGGCAGCATCCGGGAGGCCGGGCCAGCGGCCTCGGCCTAGGCCTCGAGGGAGCGGGAAGGTAAGGCTGCGCAGGGGCAAAGCCAAGGTGCCCAGCGGGTGCCGCCACACAGAAGAAGAGGCGTGTGCCAGGCGGTTTCCTACGGAGGAGCCTTGGCATGAAGAAAACATGAAGATGCATAAATGATGACGGCAAAGGGAGAAGGAGCAGCAGAGCCTTTGCCAAGTCAGCCGCAGGCACCCAAGGCTGCAACCCGATGCCCGAGATAGAGTTACCCGGAACGCTCCGCTGGGGCGTGGCACTTCTCCCAGGGCAGCTCCTGGGGCCAAGGGGGCCACCAGGCAACAGAGGGTGGGGGCTGCCCACCCAAGGAAACGACCGTGCCGCAGTCGCTCCCCCCCACTTGGCAGTTCCTTCCAGCGGCAAATGCTTGGAGGAAAGACGGGACACCCCTCCCCCCCTCCCACAGGGAGCAGCCGCACCTCTTCTTTGGGGCTTACCGAAAGCAGAGGCGGAAAAAGGTCTGCAGGCCAAGGGAAGCGTCCAGTCTCCAAACGGCCAGCCAGGGCCTCCTGTTCCCACAGCCTCTGCTACATGCTGGGGTTCCAGGAGGCACACCAGGGGGTGGAGAGGTGGGACAAGCCCACCTCGGGGGAATCAGAGAATCGGTCCTGAGCCCCAGATCCTTTGGGTGCTCGCTGTAATATGCCAGTGTTCTCCCCATTTTCCACTCCACCGGCTTTGCATTCAGCCCTGTCCATCTCTGTGTGATTCTACACCAGTTCCCATATTGTTCCCGATTATACCAAATCCTTGGGAAGATCGTTTCCTCCACTGTATCCCCACCAGCCCTCCCCCCACCGCGTGCTTTTAGGGTTACCTCCCACCATCCCCAAGCTCTTGGTACGCCATTCAAGTAATCACGGGGCCTCACACCTTGCAGGAGCAGAGTTTCCAGAGGCCTGGCCGACTGCTTTGATAATCCCTCCATGCACGGGCAGAGCGAATTAACATTCTCCACAGGGCTCCGTCGGCATGCGTGACCTAGTTTGCGCTCCGCTCCAGTCGGGGAGGGCAATGTGGGGACCATTTGAGGAGGGGTCCTGCAAGGCTGGCTCACCTGGCTTGGGCTTGGAGAAGCATCCTCCCATGATGGGCCAAGCAGAGGCGGTCCTGGGGGGAAGGAGGGGAGTCAGCAAGCTGCGTCTCCGAGAGGCATCGACCTCCGAGGCAGGGCGGCGGGGGCAAGAGGAGCCCAGTGGCCTCACATCCTCATCTGTGCCGACACCTGCAGCCTTCCTTCATGGCCTGCATCGAGAAAGAGGGCCATCCGTGAGGACGAACTCGGGCACTTCTTGGCGTCCGCCGGCTCCAGTCACTCCCTCAAAGCCTGACGCCCGCATCCCTTTGTGCCCCAGTGGAGTCGCTGCACCAGCGCACTGCTTCCGAGTTCGGAGCTCTCCCAGCCTTCTGCTTCCTTGATGCATTGGACTGCAACTCCCATCATTGCTGGCCTTTGGAAGGAGGGGAGTTGCCTATCAAGGGGCACCAGGTTGGGAAAGGCTGCTCTGCTCTGATCCAGGGGAGAACACGAATGCCTGTTTGCTGCAGGCCCTGAGCCTCAGGGCATTCCCAGGGGGGACAGAACCAGCACGGTTTGGTTTGGCTCTTCTGTCGCTCCCTGCCCTCGAAGCAGAAGAGCTGCACTGCAGAGGCAAACGCCAAGCGAATGTTAAAAAGCAACAATAGTTTAAATCGTAAGACCTGTTTAAGCGGCTAATTCAGTCCCAATATAATAGTAAGTAATTAAATGCCCTGTGGTAGAGCACAGCCTTAAACATGGTATCCGAAAGATGTCACAGTTGGCACCAGTGGGGAGCCTGTTGCATCGCTGACGGGCCACCACCGAAAAGGCCCTTTGCCTGGCTGCCAAAAACTAGGGCGAGCCCTGGGCCTTGACCATGGCACCCGGGCAAACTGCAGTTTGGAGGCCCGCCAGCAGGGGCCGCCTCCCCGAGCCACGAGGGGCTTGGTAGGTCAAGACGCGCATGGTGGATTGGGCTTGCGAGCCTCTGGACGGCGAACGCAAGCAGGCCAGAAATGCTGCACACGCAGATCATGTGGCCCCTCTTAGCAATCTGGCTGCTGAATTCTGCACCAGCTCCTGCTTCTGGACTGTCTTCAAGGGCAGCCCCACACAGAGCGCACTGCAGTAATCTAGCTTCAAGGCTACCAGAGCATAGAAGATCAATAGCAAGCTATCACTGCCTGGATATGGTCATGGCTGAGACCCCAAATGAAGCTGGGAGACAGCACTCCAGGCCACTGATGCCCCCTGGACCTACAGCGAGAACGATGGCTCAGGGGACAGCCTCAGAAGCCTGCCCCTTCAAGGGGAGAGCAACCCTTCTAGAATAGGTTGAGGTCCCTCAGAGGAACCTCCCACTGAGAATGACTCCGGCTTCTCAGGACTGAGCTTCAGTTTGTTGGCCTTCATCTAGTCTACTGTCTCAGCGAGGCGCCATTTTAGTACATTCGCAGCCTCACCTGCTGACGATGCAAAGACGCAGAACTGTGTGCCACCAGCACATTAAGGACAACAGGCTCCAAGCCCCTGACGACCCCACCCAGCGATTTCATGCAGGTGCAGAATGACGTGTGGGCAAGCCACCCCCCGAGGAACCGTGCTGGAGCGTCCAAGGAAGAGCACTGTCCCCCAGCCCTACCTCCTGCCGCCTGCTTCCCAAGCTGGGACGGAATCACGGCAGGGCAGTGCGCCTCGCTCCTGGCTCAGGCGCTGGCCCAGGAGGACACCTTGGTGATGGGCATCAACAACTGTAGAGGAGCACCAATGCTATTATGCCCCTGAGGGTGATTCCAGTTGAAAGACAGAAAAGCTAAAAACATTTTCCACACAGTCTGCCAGTGAGTAGAACATGCGCTGAGCTTCTCTTTGGAAAAGTGGATCCACCCTGCCCATGAGGAAGAGCTGTCGCCCTCCACTCACATGGCCATTTGTGTATCTCTGAGGCCTCATCTTTTTAATGGCCGGATCTGGTGTCATCCCATCTTTCCTCTGTTGTAACAAGAATCAGAGCATCTTGGATGGCAGGGAGACAGGCCTGGGCTCCTCTCTCCAAAGAAATCATTCTTTATCTACCTCGTCTAAAGGGAATTTCAATGGCTTTATTTTTCTCATTGACCATTAGATAGCTTGGAAAACCCAAGTTCCTTTTTAATCTCTTAATTTCAGTCCTCCGACCAGCTAATCTCCACGCTCCATTCCACTCTGAGCCGTCTTTGAATGAAGCAGTTTTATCTCCACAAGGAACAAACGGGAGGGATCATAAAGCAGGGGGAAAGTCAGCAAGAGACACGTGTTCCGCATACTTTCCACAGCGCCTTTGACCCAGCGCTGTGAGGACTCCTCAGGGACAAGGAAACCTCACCACACGGCTGGCTTAGAGTTCCCGACTGAGTTCTGGAAAGGGCTCCTAGATGAGAAGAAACCGGCTTGATTCCTGCAGCCTGCTGCAGGCTGGGGACCCCCAGAAGCCTTGGGCCACAGCACCAGCTGCCCCTGCCATGCACCGGGGGTGTCGTGCTGGGGCAGCTGCTCTGCTTTCTTCCAGTGTCTTCCCACCCACTGCTCGCTAGCTGGGTAGGCTGCAGAGGCCGTTTTTCAAAAGACGGGGTGCCCAGCCACGACAAGAACGCTGCATGGCCCGGGAGCTGCGCTCCCTTCTCCTTGCACAAATGCTGCGGGCTCTCCGACGGCGCTTATGGCAACAGCTCCCTCCACGCCTCTCCGTGGCCCGTTAGAAGACTCAGCAGGAACCCACTCCCAGCACTGCACTGTGAGACCGTGATCCCGTTTCTGGGAACCCATCCATTCTTCCCCCGGGTGCCTGTGCAGGCAGGTCACAACCATGCTTCAAACGTGAGCTGGCACCTACGGCCGCTTTTTCACAACCCACAGCTGGGGTGAAGCACCCTGCTCTACAAGCGCCCCACTGGCACTGGAAGGGGTCCATAAGCTCCTCCGTCTCCGAATGCTGCCACACGTGGAAAGGAAAGAGCCAAGAGCAGAATGGGTGGGGCCGAACCACCAAAATGAATCAGGACATCGTAGCTTAGCTGTCTTTCTGCCGGGAACTAAGCCTCAGGAGAAGTGTCTTGGCCAGCTCCAAGTGTGCGTGTGGGGAGGGGGGGTCACAGAAGCCAGGGGACCACCCAAGGAGCAGCGGCAGGGGGACATGCGATGGGGGCTTCTGGGAAGCCGCGGGGGCTGGACTGGAACACAGGGAGGAGCAGCAGAAAAGCCAGGTCTTCTCTCCTGGGAGGTGGTGCAAGCAGGATCTAGCCAGGGAAGCCACCAAATCAGGAATCGTGGCTCCGTGGTCTGCAGTCTGGAAGGGCCCTCCCGGCCCCTTCCCCCCGGTAGTGTTTTTGTGATGGGGGCAGGGAGAGAGCTGCTGGCTGTGGAAAGGGGACAGGTGCTTTTGCAAGGCCGCAGGGGGCAAAGTGTCCCTCCAGCCCATCTCCTCACTGCTGCCCCAGCAAATTACGGACTCTGGATTAGACGTGTGCACCAGCCAGCATAGCTGCGTTGATTTTATCACTGTTTGCAAGTTTGACAGACAATCTCCCGATATTAATCATTAAACAAAAGATGCCATTCAGATGTCAAAGGTGCATCAATGAAATGCTCGTACATTTCCTAGACGCAGAACTGCACCGAATGCAAAGTCTGGGCCAATCCTGCCCTCGATGGAAGTGCCCACAATAAGGAAGGCTGTAGAAGCCCCAGGCAGGGAAGCGGGTTGGTGGCCGTGCCACAGTTTCCGCAGAAACAGCTCCCGCCAGGCGAAGCTCGTGGAACTCGGCGACAGGGTCTCCAGGTGGCTAGACGGCGTGCGTGCGGTGGGTGCGGTTTACCCGGCTTTCAGCAGGGCCCCTGACAAAGGGCCACATGATGTCCTGGTGGAGAAGCCGATGAGCTCTGCAATGCATCGATGCGCTGCCTGAGGGAGGAGGGCATGGTCGACTGGTCACAAGCTGAGTGTGGGGAACCATCGGGAGGGCGGCTGGGGATGAGTGGAGTCCCCCCAGGCTCGGCTCAGGGACTGGACCTGTTCAACCCCTGTAGCAAAGACCTGGAGGAGGGGATAGCCAGTCTGCTGACCAGATTCGCAGACGATACCCAAGTGGGGGCGGTGGCCACAACTGAGGAGCAGGTACTGTGGATCCAAAAGGATTAGGACAGACAATGGAAGTGGGCCGTGGACAACAGGATGCCGTTCAGTGTGGATAAGTGCGGCGTCTTGCACTTGGGACTCAGGAATAGGTGCTGCAGGTACAGGTAAGGGGACAAGTGGCTGGAGAGCAGCACTCGTGAAAGGGACCTCGGGGTGCTGGTTGACTGCAGGCTGAACATGAGCCAGATGTGTGACACGGTGGTCAAGAGGGCACATGCCACCCTTGGTTGCATAGCCAGAAGTGTGGCTTCCAGATGGGGGCCCACCAGTGTGGGTGTTCAAGCAAAGACTGGCCAACCACATGCTGGGTATTATATGAGCGGAGCCGGCTGGAGCCGGGGGTCAGACTAGATGGCCTAGGAGCCCCCTTCTGACTCACTGTTTCTATGTTTCTAACACCAAGGCAAAATTGGGAAGAAGTGGTCTGGTGAGATACATCTCTTCCTCTTTAAGCATTATCTATCTATTTATTATATGTATATCCCGCCTTTTTTCTCGCAAGGAACCCCACGCAGCCCCCACAATCCCCCTCCTCACCACTGTATCTGCAAGGTGGCCCTGCGAAGTGCGTTGGGCCGAGGTCTGTGGCTGGCCCAAAGCTCTGGGGGCCCTGTGGCCACAAGGGACACGCCTTCCGAGTCGCCATCCATTGCGCCGCCCTGGCTCTCGCAGGACCCCCGGTGCAGCTGGCAAGGAGTCCAGGATGGAGCCAGCTCAGCATTTCTCCACGCAACTCACATTTAACTCTGGGATTTTCTGCCACGATTTGCAGGGCTGGCCAGTGGCAGATCGCTTCTTGGAAGGGTTGCACAGCTGTGGGAGGACAGACGCCTCCATGGTCATTCGGGGGAGCTTCTGCAGTTTCTAGTTAGTCGCAAAACTTAATCTTCAGTGGTACCCACAACTAGTGCGAGAGGCGAGTGGAATCTGAAGCAGAGACTGTCTGCATGAGACGGTCCAG